CCTGATTGCCATTGGTGTTGGATTCATTTGCGCTCTCATCAGCATCAAGAGCCATGGGATTGGCAGCACCAAGTGAAGCAGTGGCGGCATCTTGCTTGGACTCTTGAATGGTCATGGTGATAATGCCTGGGATCGAGGGAACATCAGTATCAGGAGCTGGTTCCAGTAGACCCAAGGACTTTGCTCTCTGGTGAATCTCTCGAGGCAATGGACAGTGGGTTCTCTGTAGCTCGAGAAGGGAGTTCCTAACACAGACAGAAGCAGTGGCATTGGCTGGGTCGGTGGGAACAAGGAATGCTAGGTCTGTTTCCAGATAAGTGAGTGTTTTTGCTGGATCGGCCTTCCACTTGCAGAGGAAGCACAATGGGTCTTGTGGTCTAGAGATCAATAGCTGTTGACAGAAGCAGCGCTGAGAGCTGTGACTGAATGATCTCGGATCTGGTTGATCTGCTGGCTGAGTGGCATCTAGCGGCTGGGTGGTGATTTGGCTCTTGGGTGGTGCATCGGTGGAGTTGATAGCTGGTGCCTCCAATGACTTCTGTTGATCCTGATTGTCACTACTGTCAACAGTGTCGAATAGAGGGGCTAGGTGCTTGACCGGAAGGGAGATGTCCTGGTTGTCATAGGACCTGTTGCAGGAGTAGCAGTAATGGCCAGGTAGGGAATGCTCATGAGTGCCCAGCTGAGTTGTTGTGGCATCAATGCAATGCAGTTCAGTGGCTTCCATGGGGTCATGGCATTGTGGACAGTAGAAAGGAGTAGGTGTTGGGTCCCCAAGAACCGTGTTGTCATCAGATGATGTTGGAGCTGCCACACTGATCAAGTCCTGTTTCCTTGCCATGTCTTGAAGATGCTGGATGCCTGCCTTGATTTCATCATCAGTAGGATCAGTGGTGTTGTCGGGCTTCAAGGTAGGTCCATTTGGAGATAGCAGGAGTGTTAATGGTGAAGTGGACCGAGTATCTGTTGCCAAAGGACCATCGAGTGGGATGACTTTCCTGCAGGACTCACAGTAATGAGTAGGTTCGAATGTGGTTTGCTTTCCAAGAATCTCCTCCGCGAAGTTACTCAAAGACATCATCTTTGGAGTGACCATTGTATTGCAATCCGGGCATAACAAAGGAATAGAACACACTAGTGGAATACAGTCAGCTGGAGGGATCGACTGGGATTGATTGGCTGTGTTGGTATCATTGTTTCCTCGAAGATTGGTAGCCGGAGTTTTCGCGGCGATGTCTCCATTCAAATTGGTAACAGTTTTCTCGTGAAGGAACTGTCGAATAGAGTTTTTCAGCCGATAGGTCTTCCTTCCCTTATTGCGGGTACGAGAAACATTGTTGTTGGATGCGACGTGTGCATGGTGCTCTGGATTTCCATAAGCAACCTGGATGTTGGTGGTGGACGTTGTGCTTCGCTTCGCTGTGGTGTTCATGTAAAGTAGGCTTGGCCATTCTGTTTCATCGCTCAGCTTAGATAAACATTCGGTGGCATCATCAGAAGTGACTAGGAGCGATCGTGCTGTACTACACTCTTCTCTAGTAGATTTTCGTGTCGTTTGTTTGCATTTCTTGTGTTTCGTTACCATTGTACAAGGCGAGGGTTGATCCCATACAACAGGAGTGGTTGTGGATGTATTTTTATCTCGCAGTGTGACAGCAGAAATGGGAATCGAAGCAGATGTTTCCATTTTCTTTTTGTCTCGGCGATCGGGGGTTTTCTTGCTGTTACGATGGCTCTTGCCTTGTTTGCGTGCATTGGAGGATGTGGATGCTGGTCCACCAGTCAATGGCACCTCCCACGCCACAGGGGTTGCATCGTTAGTTACTAGCACCGGTGGCTTTGGTAGCGGTTCAATTTTTCGAATTTCTTTTGGCGGAGATTGTCGGCGTTTATTAAGATACTCTCCGGGTTTCTGCAAGCGAAGGCAGTGTACTTCGCGGCGTGGCTGAGGAATTCGTTCTTGGTGGTGTGGTAGCTTCATCAATAATGGATGTGGTTCCAGTTGTGCTCAAGGTAGACAAGGAGTCATCATCATCGTCGTCGTCCATGTACTGTTGAAGCCAGAAGTCTGTTTTCGCTAGCGCTAGGAAGGTGTTGTCATTTATGCTTCTTGCTACGCTGTCAAGACCGTTAGATGATGCTTTTTCCTTGGTCGTTGTCTTCTTTCCTCGCCGGATTGGTTGAAAGCCATCATCGTTGTCCTCTGTCATGGTGGTATTTCCTTTGACAAATGACCCTGATTTTGTCTCATTTCGTATCGAATTCCATGGTTTCTTGTCGGATTTCGCTCGCGCCACGTGCTGTCTACCTCCGACCAAGGTGTTAGATCCCATTGCCGAAGCTATGTTGGTGATGGCCGCTGCAGATTTCATTCGAAATGGACCAGGAGGCGCCATGGTCGGACCGTTTCGGGCTTGAGTGGTTGAGGAAAACGGCAATTTACTATAGGATAAAGAGTACTAATTTGTTTCGTCAGAGTGCTTCCGAAAAAGCGTGGTTCTAGATTGCCTGAATCTAGAATTGTAATATACCACCAATGACAGCATCAGTAGCATCGAGTAAAGGACTGGCTGTGATGCAGTCGAGTAAAGCACTGGCTGTGATGCACTGAAGAGTAAAGCACTCATCACTCGTGATCTTTTGATGGCCAACGGTGCATCAAAAGATCCAGGTTTGCGCTCAGACCGAACCTTCCTACCCTAATCACGCGTGACTCACTCGAGGGGTTTTGGTGCGAGGCGATTGATGGCAACTTAGGTCGGTCTCTACCGGAGCGACTAAAGTAGCGACTAAGCCATATTTCATAGTTTAGTCGATAGTTTAGTCTCTGGGGGTGGTGTCTACCGTAGGGACTAAAGATCATACAGACTGAAGGCTTTAGTCGAAATGTTCGTTCACGGACTAACCGGAGGCTGGTTAGTCGGTGAGTGAGTGTACTGACTAAAGCCTCTTTAAGAACTCTTTAAAAACAGAACAGCACTTTAAAAAAAGAACAGCAGCCTCATTGCACAGCCTCACTATCAGAGCATCGCGACAGAGCTGATAGAGTAGAGGTGCGATGGAATGATCGAACGATCGAAGAGGAGTATCGGCCGATAGTACGATCGAACGATCGAAGAGGAGTAGTAGAGGTGCAAACGATCGAACGATCGAAGAGGTAGAGGTGCAAACGATCGAACGATCGAAGAGGAGTAGTAGAGGTGCAAACGATCGAACGATCGAAGAGGAGTATCGGCCGATACGATCGAACGATCGCACCTCTATCCCACTTTATCAAGCCGACAGTCTTCGGTTGAGAATAGAAAGCCATCCCTCATTGCAGAGTATGGAGTGTGGGATGGCTTTCATTTCTCGGCCTTTCACTGTCAAGTTGGAGAACAATGGTGTGTTTGAGTCTTGTTAACTCCAAAAATTAATCACTTGTGTTAAGTCTTTGTATGAGTCCATTAAATCTTTTGAGTCCTTTAAGTCCAGTAGTCTTTGTTTAGTCAGTTTTTTTTTTAAGTCTTGTTAACTCCAAAAAGTAATCACTTCTGTTAAGTCTTTGTTTCTTTTTGAGTCCTTTAAAAGTCTATTAATAGTAGTGTTGTTTAGTCAGTGTTTGTTTAGTCACCATGGTAGACACCATTTTTTGACTAAAAACTCGACTAAATTGTTTAGTCCGAGATTTAGTCATCTGCTGGTAGACACCACCATTACTAAAGGATAATGACTAAATCTTGAACTAAACAACCACCTAAAGGTTTCCTTTAGTCGGTCCCTTAGTCGCTCGGGTAGAGACCGGCCTTATTATTAGCAAACGGTATCAGGTACCAGTACACCGTACATGTACAACAACCTTGAACAGGTGTGCAATGGGTCCAGCTTGGGGGATAGGAGACCCAACTTGGGATAAGGCTTGGTGAGATCAGCGGATTGCAACGGAGGGGGCCAGGGACGAGGGGACCTCGGAGGCTGAAGATTCGCGGACGAACCAGACGAACAGATGCGTAAAATGAACAGTGTCGACGAGGACGAGCATTGGATTCTAAAGGAGACACTGGCATCAGCGAGGCCTCGGATCAAACAAGTCTGCAATGTCACACCTATCTATGGAAACATGCAACAAATGAACAGGTGGAAAGAATCTACAGTAGACGGGATTACCTTCCTCACTTTTTCACTGTTTGCTTTCTTCCTTGCACTAAATAGTTCAGCGCCCACAACGACAAGCGAGCGATACATTCAATTATTCACATCCAAAGTTTGCACATTCCCATTTGTCACAGGGAAACATGCGACAAATCGAAAAAATTCCTAATGACGGCGAATGAGGAATGCGTCCAAAAAGTCGTCTTCAGAGGCAAAGTCTGCTCCGCAAACCTGTCCGTCCACAAAGTTCACAAATCCATCTTCAAAGTAGTTCACAAGGTGCCTGAGGCATGTAGGATCGTTGTAGATTCCGTGGAAGATGGATTGGGAAGTCAATAAGCTAGTGAACTTGAAACCGAGCCTCATATCCTGTGTCCAGACGTAGGGCGTGTTGGGATCATACAGAATTCCAAGAATGATGCCTACGAGTAGCACAGCCATGCGCGAGAACAAAGCAACAGTATCAGTTAGTTCCTGGGATGATCCAAAACCAAGGCAAGGAACCACAGCATCTTACCAGAAAGATAACTGTTCCCGGCGGGAGGCAGCGGGTTTACTTTGGGCCAGTAGAAGTTGGTGGAATACGTGCCAAAGAATGCATTCCCTGTAAGAAGTAAGGAAAGAGTGTGATGTGAGAGGATTTCATCATCGTGGTACCAGTCGAGAGTTGCATCGCAGCAAAATACTTTCCTGGGGCACCTGTTCCGGCACCGGTGTATTTCTGATTGATCTCAATTGTTTCTACTGCAAACCTTTGCTCGTCGTAGACAGGGGCGGATTGATCCTGGGCATTCACCATTACAAGTCCGATTGAACCACCATCCAGGGGGACATAGTCTTCATTACCGTAAACATACCAGTCATCGGAAGTGGGCTTGGAGCTTTGATCGAATTCATTCTTCGTTGCTGCGACAGGAACCGCGCCAAACAATAGAGGGTCAACTCCGGACGATTCGGCAAGCTCGGCTGAAAGGTCTCGCACACCATCATAATCACCCGCTGTGGCAAGTTCACACAGTTCACCTGCTCGATCGAAATTGCTGTACATGATCCTCAAGAACGTTTGGATAGCAAATCTGCCCACAAAACCGGGTCCAATATCCGCACCAAAGATTTCACTAAAACCTGCAGCCAGGGCCCCGAGACACCCCCTCATATCATCCACAGGGCAACTGCCTGGTTCTCTGGCATTGCGAGCAGAGCAACTATAAACAAGATAGTCGATCCTGTCATTCGTGCCGATCGCGAAAGAGCTCGCTTGGTAGAAAGCATTTGGATTGGGAGGCGCACAAGAATCGAGTACAAACAAACCCGTATAAGATGGGAAAATCGTGGCATAAATCGAGAAGACTGTGGTTCCGTAGCTGATTCCATAAACATGCATGGCAGGTGCATTGAGCACCATGCGCATGCGGTAAACTTTGGGAGGGAGGAGTCGAGTCATGAGAGGATGCGCCAAGAGCTATTAATCACACTGAAAACACTTCAACTTACTGTCCTCTGCCAATTGCCGGGTTCCCGAGTACTCCAAGAAATGGAAATTAGTCACATTTCCATCCTCTTGTGTAGCATTCAAGAAGAAGTCGCAAGTCTAGCCAGACGTTGAAATACGTGAGAAGCGCGCTTTGTAATGTGCCATCCGAGCTAGTGGTGGTGGCGACGCTGCGCATTGCATACCGGTACATACCTCGCACGTCCAGCAGGATTCAGCCCTTCTCTTCGTGGGTTGCAACCTCAAGATGATATCATCTGCATCATTATTGTCAAAAGTGGAATTTTCGTATTCGGGAGGACTAGCAACATACAAGATAGTTCCATTGTCAGCCCTAACAACGTCACCCTCCACACATTCTTCATGAGCAAAGTTGGGCCAACTCCGACCCATACCACGCTACCGTACCGGTACCAGTACGAACAATCGATGGTTTAGGTTTGCCTCTGAAAACAAGCAGATCCATGCAACCTTCTCGACTAAAGTGACCTACCTGATCGATACTCAAAAAGTTGTAGTCTCGAAGGTTGTTGGGCCCCAAGTCAGAAGCAGTGCTGTCAACGCAATCGGACAACGAACTTGGTCCACCGCAGTGCAGAAACAGATTTCCTTTTGCTGCAGGTTGTACGTCTGCAAAACGCATGCAAATGTAAACCTCAATGGTGGGATAGTAGACGTCAAATAGAGACCCAAGCTCCGGCTTCAAGAATCCACAGGTAGTTTCTCCCGCCTGAATCTCGTCTGGGTTGACCCATTCAAAAATTTCAGGATCAATACCTTTCCTGAAGAAGTCCAAGGTCTCGGCGGTGTAGAATGTCTGAGGCTCGTACTCGACGAAAGCGTCGTCGTCCACTTCTTCCAAAGGAGGCACTGTACCTTCCCCCGACAGTTTTCGCGAACCGCCCTTGAGGCCACGGCGTCTATCCTCGTCTCTGTCCTCCGGCGCCTCGTAAGTGTGATGAATACGGCGCCCAAGAAGACCTGTCTTGTCTTTGTAAATCTCGCGGTTGAAGAACTCCTTGGCAGAGCCGACAGCCGCGAGGGATGTCAAGAGGATCAGTCCAACTTGAAACTTCATGATACTGACTATTAGTTCTTCTATTCTTTATGAGTGTCGCAATGTCTTCTCTGCAGAAGGAAATATGCGATCGTCGTTTGTTTGCAGGAAGAGAGCATCCATCCATCATGGATATTTTTTTCTTCTCGCCATTTTTGCTGGATCTTTGGCTTGTCAACTGGAATTGGGTTCGTTGCGGTGGGTGTGGACGGTGTGTAGAGTTTGTACCGTACAGCCGTACGGCACTACTAGTACTAGTATGTACATGGTGTACCGTACCGATACACGTACAGTGAAGCGGTACCGTACGGTACTACTAGTAGTACCGGTACCATTCCGGAACAGCTCGGCTCAAGCTCTTTTGCCATTCGCGGTGAACCACTCCTTAAGTAATCAATTGGTTGCTTCGATTTCTTTTTTTATTAATTATTATTAAAGCGGAAGGTTTCGGCCAAAAGTTTTGCTGAAGGCTCAATTTTTTCTTGAGATCTAACCTCACAAATTTGTGATTGTTGGATGTTGGCCGAAGAGCTGCCGAAGATACCATACCTGCAGTATTATCCAGAACGTCAAGGATACTGCAAAGGTTCTCAGAGCAGAAACATGCGATTGCACCCCGCAGCATCGCATGCGCTGATCTTTGGCAGCCACCGTAGCTTTCTCTTGGCTTGACGGCCTCTGTGATACGCAATTTTTGTTTGCTTGTATATGCGATTTCTCCATGAAGACCACTATTGTTTCCTCCCTCGTCGCCTCTGCCGCCGCTTTCGCCCCGGCTTCTCAAACACAGAGCACCAGTGCTTTGATGGCTACGACTCCTGCTCCTTTCGCCAATGAGATCGGGGATGATTTTGTAATCGACCAAACTGGTCGGTGTATTTGTGGCGCTGTGGAGTTCCATGCCAAGGGGAAATTAGCCTTCAGTGAGCTCTGTCACTGCCGGGCGTGTGCTTGGGCAGCTTCTGTTACACCGGTTCATGTGATTGGCGTGGAAATATCAGAACTGGACTACAAGACAGGAAAAGACAAAGTTGTCGTTGTCAATGGACTTGGCAAAATGATCCATGGTCGGTGTTCCCAATGCATGACACAGGTATTCCAAAAGCCACAGGGAGAGAATTACGTAGCGCTATTCCCACCCACCTTTCGGATTGGTGGCGACGATTCGTTGGAGCAGAAACTTCCTGACTACTATCTTCCTCGAATGCACACCAACTACGAAAACCGAGCGAGAGACGCAACTGACTCGCTGCCAAAATTCAAGACGTTTCCTCCTGACAATGAAGTGAACGCGGATGGCAGCTTGAAGAATGCAGAATGATGGGTAATTTCATCGTTTGAAATGCCTCGATGGCTTGCCAACCGAGAGGTCGCTCGTCTGGATTGCAATGAGTGTTTTTCTTTTGAAAGTGAAGGTATCCACAACTTGCGAATGACAAATTGCATTGCGAGGGGGCTGGCATCTCTTAATGACGACATGTCCGAGGATCATTGCTCATTGTCTTGACGTGTGAATCAACAACCGACACGTGTTCTTGCAAAGTCTGTCCAGAAATCGGAATTGCGATGCGGAAAGCTTGATGAGAGAAGAGCTGGACGAGATTGGAAGCAACTAAAAAAACCTGAAGATCCTGAGTTGCGCACCAGTGAGAGACAGAGGGGCGGGCAGATTGAGTTCACAGAGCATGATGAGGCAGCAGTAGAGAAGTAGACTACTAGCTATTACCGCTACCCGTACTGTACCGGTATGCACGAATTGCCCTCAACGGACTGAGGGTCTTTCACACTTTTATCCCTGTATGTGTGTGTGTGTGTGTGTGTGTAGGTGTGTGTACGTTGAGTGCTGTGTGAGATGTGTGATGTTGTGTGAGATGTGTGTAGACACTACTAGGAGTTAATCTACGACGAATCTACCATTGGATTTATCCATGGGTATACCGTTGCTTGCTGATTTCCAAATTCTGAGCTTAGGAATTTCGCTGTTTGCTCATCAGTGGAGCAAGCTGGGGATGGCAAAAGATACAAGCCGGTAGGCTGTGAGAAAAGCAAGGGTACCCTGTTTGTGTGATTTCGAAAATAGACACATAGGACTGGTACGGTATAGACCGAAACAAGCTAAACTAACCGTAAATCCAATACCTCGATGGGCTGGATGTGTGTGGGTGTGTGTGTGTGTGTGGTGTGGTGTTGTGTTGTTTGTTGCAGCTGTTCGTCACAATAGGGACACTTGCTTCGTTAAGGATAGGGATTATATTGTGTGTTCTGTTGGACACAGTAGTTTCTACACATGGGTACCGCACGGCGCTATGCAGACTCGCTAGTTGTGTCCAGATAAACACTGTAGGTTTTGCCAAAGACATAAGGACATTTTCCTTGTTAAGGATAGGGATTGATTGTGTGTTCTGTTGGACAAGTACTCTGGACCTGGAAAGTCCGCAAAAACTGACTTTGGCGACTGGGGAAGGCCAGACTGCTAGGTAAATGTGCGACATATTGAAAAATTGGCGACTGTTGAAAGGAACGGCCGAGTACAGTTCAACACTGTTGAATTTTTTTAAACAATTAGTCAACACTTTTTCAACACTTAGTCAGCACACTTTTCAACACTGTTGAATCGAAGTCAACACTTTTTTCAACAGTTGTTGAAACCTCTGTTGGACACAACACCACAACCAAACATCCACGATGGCAAGAAAAGAAGAAAGACGACCACGACGGCACAAATACCATGGGCTCAAAGCAAAGCTAAGAAGCTGTTAAAGGATTATAATCACTGGGAGAGTCACTGTCGACATGTTGCCTGCTGCAGTCTTCGCAATGCGACCGGAATTTGCAGAGTATGGAAAAAATCGATTTGGTCCGAATCTGCGTAATCTCCAGAGTGCCATAGCACGAGACTACAACAGAATGGCCAAAGATTGCGCGTACTTTGGCAATGATATGTCTGTGTTGCTGGAGCAACGAAAGGAGAACCCTCCTGTAGAGAGATCGTGGCACACATCTGAAGCCAAAACACTACTTGAAGAAGATATCACCAATGGCATTCATTTGTCAATTGACCAAGAGACTGGCAAGAAGATAGAGCCAAAAGCAATTTACAGATTGAGACCTGAATATCGTGAGTTCACTCTGAAAGTGTTCCGCAATCATATCTACCAAGAAGTCAAGAGACGGGAGAAGATCGAATCAAAGCATCGATTTGGAAAGAAGAAGCTTCGAAATCCAGCTGCAGTGGCACACCCACATTTGGTTGCTTTGGCTCAGCTCGGAGAAGAAAAGACCAAAGAAAGTGTAGCTAAGAAAATAGCACTGAGAATTCAGAACAAAAAGAAAGGACGGGGGAAACAAGCCTGATGATAGATACAACAATTGACTTTATAAATTATCAGTAATCAGTACGGCCAGCTATCCTCCACATCATTCACAAGCAACAACAAGCAATCAGAATTCCAATTCTGTTTCAATCTCCTTTACATCATTTTTCAATTCATTTTCCAACCACTCTACTAGTTTGATGGCCTCGTCGTCTTCACTGTCTTTCCCTTTTTTGGCTGTGGAATCATTGAAATCGTGGTCTCGACTGTTCACTGTTTCAATGGATGCATTGGTTACAGCAAAGTTTGAATCTGTTTTTGTAGGTGTGATGCTTGTATTGATGCCTTGCTCACGGATTGCGTTGAGGTATGCTTTCTTCTTGGCCTCTCGTTTAGTATCGGCAGCAGCAGACAACCTCTCATTCCTCATCCCACGTCGCTTCTGTGGATCAAACAATCGCATTTCTTTTATAGCACTGATGCGCTTTGTTGGTGTGCTTGACTTAATCTTTGCCTTTGCCTTTGTTGGTGTGCTGGTAGCTGATGGACGCACCGGTAATGGCGCCACAGGAGGAGCTGGTACCGGTAATGGTGCCACAGGAGGAGGTGATGGTGCCACGGGAGAGTTGGTGGTAGACTTGACGGCACTAGTAGGTGCCTCTACAGAAGTATCTGCATCATTGCTTCTTTCCTCTTCTTCAGACTCAGAGATATCTGCTAGAAGCAAAGTAGTGTATCAAAGCAACAGCTGAAGTTAGTATTGAATGAAGTTACAAGCTAGTGCTCTAAGATGGACAACATAAAAGCAACCAGCCACCAATAGTGTCGCATTCAATAAAGCAAACCAGCAAATCAGCCGTGACCAATTAGAATGCATTCAAGTAGCCGCCTGAAGCAAGGAAGGAAAGGAAAACAATCGAAAAAGTGCAAGGCACAAAGCAGCCGGTGAGTTGACAGTTTGAACAAATAATAGATGAAGGATGCAATCTAGTATCTTGCCATTGGCGAATAGCAAGATAATGGATGCGTGCCTGCACTGCCAACTCACCGGCTACTTACCTTAGAGCTCCTCCATGGGGTTTTCATTGCCTCCTCCCATAGGGGATGATGGTTTGGTGCCAGTGGAAGAAGCAGCACTAGATCCGCTGTTACTGCTAGAATCGTCATCGACGTCCGGCTCACCTTCTTCATTGACTTTCATGCCAGAAAAGAGATCCTTCAAAGATTGTCCCTTCTTCTTGGCTTTCTTCTTGCGTTTAAGCTCACTCTCTGCTTCATCATCAATCACTCGGAATTCAAACACACCAGGACAGAAGGTCTGTGGCATGTCTTCTTCATCAGCTCCCTCTCCAACCGTTGTCTTCTTGACAGTGAAAATGCGGAGACCAATAGTGAGCTTCTGATCAGCCACTGGCTCTTCCCCACTTTCGAGCTTGGTGGAAACAATCATGCTATCTGGAAATACGAAAAGCACATGTTTGAAACGACGTGGCTCCAATCCATGCTCCGGATTCTCAGACTTGAGGATAGCATTGGCCACAGTAGCGTGCTTGTCTCGGGTACGATCACATGGCTTGATCTCTTTCTTGAACATTTTCTTGTGGTGCTCGAGCATGAAAGCGGGAGCCCAAGGAACTGTTAGCATGAAGCCAGCTCCATAGGCAACTGTTTTCCCTTGCAAGCGATGAGCATCGGAGAAATCAATGATAGCATTCATGCGGATCACGACCTTGTCAATCAACTCCGAGCCATCAGGAGACTTGCACTCTGGAACATGTTGAGTCCAGAAGAGAGGGCCACCATTCTTTTCGGGAAAATCAAAATCAACTTCGATTATTTCATCAGCATATGACTTGGCCTCTTGAATGTTCTCAAACTGGCAGTATCGTTTGGCTTTGCTGACCGAAGGGGAGCCGAACTTGGATGATGCAGAAGATTTCTTCGACGATGATGATGGCATTTTGGGGTTGGTGTTTTTCTTTCTTGGCGTAGTGTCGGCAATCTTCTTCTTGACTGCTCTTTTTTTTATGGGACCGTGACCACTAGCTCCAAATGTAGGCGATGTCAATTCTGAGATGGTAGAGGCTTCTTCTTCACCAGGCTGGACTTCGTTGTCTTCTTCCTTCGCGTCTTCTTCCGCCGTGTTTTCTTCAACCACGTCTTCAACTATTTCTTCTTCGACTTCTTCTTGCTTTCCTTCTTCTGTTGCTGGCTGCTTCTTGTTGTCTCCTTCTTCACCCACAAGCACAACCTTGCCTGCCTTGGAATACAAATCCCAGTACTGCCTCGGCTTGGCCTTCTTCAGGTCCTTCAGATAGTTGAACCGATTGCGATAAGATGTCTGAATAGGGTCACCAACTCCGTAGACGTCAGGGTAAGTCTTGAGCAAATCTTTGAAGTGGCAGCCCGGATGCTTCTCGATATCAAGGAGGATTTGATGCTGTTGGACCTTGGTCAATGCTTTGCCGGACGACTTTTGCTTCTTAGTAGCATCGACAACCTTCGGCGGAGCTGCCTCTGGCAAATTGTGTTTTCCTCCGGATCTCGTAACAGTCGGCATGATGGACGATTAGTGAAGAGGAGTGGTAAGAAAGAAAGAAGCCGGAATGGCACCATTCCAATGCTCGGAGCTTTCCTGTAATCGTTTGAATGCAAAAAGTGGAGGCAAGAGCAGGAATCAGATTCTTTCCCGCCTTGATATCTTTATACATGAAGATATTCATTGCAGCCATGCTCGACTTGAGAGTGGTGCAACACGTTGCTCAAATAGATGAAGCAAAATCTGGACTGCTTCCGAGAACAATCGCTGGGCGAGCTACCACGACAACTCCTTGGCATGACTGAAAATCGAATTTCCCACGCTGACGACCGAGGATCTGCATCGGCACTTTGTCTTTCGCCACACAACAAATAAAGAAACAACGATGGCAGCTGAAGCTTTCAATGCTCGACAATTCCTTGCCTTCGGAATGGATATCCTTGGAGTGGAACGATGGGAGTTTCTGAAAGAAACTTCAGTAATCGAGCGCTTTACCAACGCATATGGAGCCAAACCCATTACGTGTGAGCAGATGTGGACGGACCTCATTTCGATGGGTGAAGTAAACAAGAAAAGCAAACCAATGCACTTATTCATAGCTCTCAGATTTCTTTACAAAAACGACACTGAGCTTGATCTGATGTCTTTCTTCAAGATTGGAAGTGACAACACTATCCGCAAGTGGTGCTGGAGTTATGTGAAGAAAATTCAGAAGCTGCTCAAAGGGAAGATGCTCACTTGGGAGGAGGCTGACGATGGAATGATATTTTTCCTTACAGTTGATGGCACACATTGTCCTATCGAGGAGCCAAGGCCTTTCTCCAAGATCTGGTCAAGTCACAAGTTTGGAGGAGACGCTGCCTTGAACTACTAAGTTGGATTGAGCATCAACAAAGTGAAACTGATTTGGCTCCACGGCCCAACACCACCCGGTTTACACAATGACCTTGAGGTTGCTAGAGAAGAGCTACTCCCAAAGCTTCGAGCCTACAATGACAAGAATACCAAAGAGCTACGAATTCTTGCCGATGGCATCTATGAGGCCGAGGAGGAGATGGATGTGATCAGCACCAAGAACGAGTTTGACCCCCATGATATTGAAGAGTTTAAGGATCGTGCCCTTTCGCGTCAAGAAAAGTTCAACCTGTTTCTTAAAAAATGGGATGTTCTTTCTACACTCTTTCGACACAGCCAAGGCGACTTCCTAATCGCGCACAGGTCTTGCTTTGAAGCTGTCACGGCGATTTGCTGCTATCAATTCGACAATGGAAGCTACAGTTTGTTTGATCCCTACCCTGACCCCAGCTAGCTCAATGGCAATGGATCAAGTGTTCACAACAACAATACACAAGCAAGAGACAACAACATGCATCAACTCGATAGAGTAGAGTCGAGTCGGTGGACCGGAGAGTGGTTCTTGCTGCTATTATCTCCACTGTTGATTTTCGAGTGTTGACACCACGGTTGAAAAAGCGACTATAAAATTCAACAGTAGATTCAACACTGTTGAAAAGGATTCAACCTTAAATCCAACACTTTTTCAACACTTTTTCAACACTTATTCAACACTGTTTAAACGGAATCAACTTTTGGCGAAGACTTATCAACAGTTTTCTTTGAAGCGAATTTTGCCAGAAAGTGCTTAATTACTGCCACGTCAGAGTCGCCAAAGTAAGATTTTGCGGGACTTTCCTGTACTGGCTGGCTATTGAGACGTGCTAGTGTGTCCAGTTGACCAAAGATGTTAAGGATTTGATTCCGGAATCAAATCTCTTTTTGACAGTTGAGGGCATCAGCCTCCGGCTGCTTGTTCTTTTGCAAACTCAAAGCTCCGGATACACAGCTTCTGCCGGCTTATTTATTAACAAGATGAAACTTTCAAGACGTCTTGTATCCTGATGAAGGTTTCCCTGAAAACCTGAATTGTCTCCTGTTTAGAATATAGTTGGCTTTGGTAAGTTGTAATCCACCACCATGGACTCCTTTGAGGAGTGGGTAAAGACCGCTGATTATCCATGCTTTCGAGAATGGGGGGAGAAAGCGGTAGCGCTAGGCGCATCCTGGGATTCTTTCCGCCGAGAGGACAAGAATGCCATCGTAGAGGACCTCATCACTGGAGGCATCCCCATACTCACTGCTCGAGATATGGTAGCCATAGCAACCAAGGAAGTCGACAAGAGCAAATCGCCGATGGCTATCTTCTGGGATCTGGAAAATATGCCTGTGCCTACAGATACGAGTGGGCGGGACATTACGACCAGTCTCAAATCCATCCTCGCGCCACATGGGGATCTTATTCAGTTTCGCGGCTATGCAAGTATTGGGTTGAATAATATCCCACAAGAGAAGAGATCCGACCTACAGCTTTCAGGTATGAACGAAATGCCTTATGTGTTGTGGATGGATCATCTCGCCACCGTACTTGCTAACGAGTCGCAACTCAGGATGTCACCTGGTCGATTGCCCACATCATGGCAGGAAAGAAGTTGCGGACAAGATGATCATAGTCGACGCTATGCACTTTGCCTTTCAGCACCCGGAATGCGCCACGCTTTGCTTCATAACTGGAGACGTGGACTATGCATACCTCCTGGCAACTCTCCAGCGCCCTCAATGGAGGACCATTGTTATTTCTCGAGGGACAATGCAGTCCATGTTACATGTCAACTCCGATATGAAGATGCGTTGGGAAACAGACATACTTCAGCCAATATATGGCCGAATCACACCTGAAACGCAGTCGGTAGAGGAATCGTCACAATCAAAGGCCACTTTCACGAACGCGTGGGACAAACCATTTCGTCCTCTGCCTGCAGACGAGGCATGGAAAGACGACGTCGAGCTCTTACACACCGTCCTCAAGGCGGCGAGCCAAAAGAGTGGTACCCTGGCACCCTTGAAGTCGGCAATCGGCATTGCACTGCGCAGCACCAACCCAGGTCGATTTCCTCAACGAATTTCCATTCAAAATTTCCTCGCGAGGGCCATCGACGAGGGTGTCGTCATTGAGAATGGCGACGGGGCGCTGAAGACTCTTTGTCTCCCACTACATGCTGGTCATCCGTCTACGATACCGGCTCTATCCTTGTCAAAGAAGCTGCCCCCTGGGCTTCAAAGTTTTCCGCCAAAGGTACTGGATGCAGCTTCAAAGGCACCCTTCATTGTTCTGCTTCGCAAGATGCATTGCCCTCCGAGTAAGACGCCCCCGAGTAAAGCCTTCATTCAGTCTTCTCCAGACTGGCTGTTTTACATGTTTCCAACACAAGTCACAGCGCTAGATGCAGCCTCCGATCATCGCTGGTTGAGTCTGGGCACATTCATTGATATTCGTCAGATCCCGGCCCCCTTGATGCAAGAAATCTCTATTCCTGATCAACATGCCGCAACTTATCGGTCTGGCAATGGCGCAACTATGACGAATTGTGGCCCTTGCGGCGCTATGGCACCGCAGTCCGACGGTTTCTTCTCCGACTGTGGTACGCAGTTCTTTTGTTCTGGTGAATGTCGAGACTGGATCCACAAGGACGCCGGAACTAAGGAGAGAGGTGTGGATCTAGTGGTTGAGACCCTAGAGTTCTTGGCAAGTTTTGATGATCTCTACTGCCAGATGACAATGTTGGGAAAGCTCTTGACACAGCGGTACCCAGCACTCTGTACATCGAGGCGGCTTGCCAAACTATGGATATTGCATGCAGAGAACTCGAAGAGAGTTTTTACCTACAAGGTTACAAAACAAAAATGTGTAGCACTTCCACGCTTCTTTCGAAAGCAAGCGTTCGAGTGCGGCCAAGACGAGAAAATCAACACTGCAGCCGAGGAGAAGTTCGTCTACGATTTGCTATGGGCGGAGAGGACTGGTTCGTACATTGATCGTAAGATTGTTAACCGTCGTTTGCAGGAAAGCTTTGCTTCCATGCAGAAGCCTCAGTTTAGGCAACAGGTATTTGCCAATGCCAAAGGTAGGGAGTTGTTCTTTCTTGCCAAAGGACCTTTGAACCAAACCGTGGGGCTGTCATACGCAGCCGCTGAAGCTGGATTGGAGATGTCCTCAGTTCCTACTAGCGCAGTGAAACTGGCAAGCACCGAGAGCGGAGAAAAGTCTCCAGATGAGGTCTTTGATCATGATTCGGACTCGAGCGACGACGAACCTGATCTTTTGCGACTCGTCGCTTCAAGGAAATAGTCCGAAGGTTCCCTCTGAGTGGGAAATCCTAACTGTGTTACAAACTGATTTTAGGCAGGTTGTCAATCATGATCTCACCTCTAGCAATAATTCTTAGATGACTGTGCCAGTGATACACCAGTGTTGCTTTGGCTGAATCCGTATCCTAGAGCCTACTGGAGGGAGCCTCGAAGAGTACTGTACCGGTACCGGTACTGCACGAACCACGTACGTGTATGGCTACAAGAATAGTCAAGCCGACTCGGAAGCGAGGAGCTTGGAACGCATTGCCACAAGGATTGGCAAAGATACTGTAATAAGGGTACGTTCAAAGATGGATTTGCTTGAATGTTCCTGATCCTAAAGCAAGATGGTACTTGAATTGAAATCCGCAATCGTCGTTGTGGGGAACACTTACTTGCTTCGAAAGTCGAAAGAGCCGTCATGGGGAATGTTGGTGTTTTTCTCGGAAGGGTTGGCTGAGTGAGCCAGTCACAGAATGTGTCACACATACTCCGTTCTTTTGAAAAATTGAAACATGACTCAATCAATTAAAGGACGTTGCCCCCAGGCTCCCACGTTTTACAGCTCCTTCCTCTTCAAACTCCAAACTGCTAGTACAACGTAATCGTTGGCTAGCTGTTGAGTTTGCCGAAGGGTTGAATGATGCGATTGAAGGCCCAGCGAAGGAAAGCAAGAGAGTTTGGCGTTTGTCATTAGCTTTCTATCTGTACCGTACGGATAGAAGGATTCCTGTCCACCGTCACAAAAAGCAGCAGCTGCATCACAAAACGAAACATCACAAAAGCAAGGAGCTAAAAGCTCTACCAGGAAAAGAAAAAATCATCAACCATGAACAAGTCAGTGCGCATTTCGGTCCCTCCCAAGAAAGATGAGAATCGCGGTCCATCGGGAATGGAAGATGAAGAAACTGGATTCAGCAAAGATTTGACGACCACCAGCAACTCTAGTGACGACGAAGATATGCTGTCAAGGAGGTATTCCGTCAATAAGTCCACCAACAGTCATCTCCACATGCTGACCACCTATCGAGTTGGAGAAAGCAAAGTGGAGAAGATGGCCACGAAAATCCAGAAACGGTTAGATGAGCGGGTTCCAGTGACCTTTAAAGCGAGGAAGACATTCCTGAAGCACTGCAGGAAGATCGCTTGTGACAACGGGTATTCGAAACTCTCGCGTGTTAAGTATAGCGACATTCTGCGATATCATGATGAGGTGCAAGAAGATGCCACGGACTGCGATACGGAGGGTTACATCTCAAGAGCTAGTCACTTTTGTGGCGTCCTAAGCCATACGCAGTGTTTGGCAGAAATTCTGGAGAAGGCCAAGATAGTTGGAGAGAACGTCGGTCTAGAACCCGACGATGACTTTCACTACCAAGACTTCAATTGTAAGTTGCTTCAGAGCCAGCCAGATCCAGTTCCTCTACCAACCCAGTTTAGACCTAACTGCTCTCTTTTCCCTATCTCCAATGCCTTAGTCTTCCACACCACGTTGGTGTCGCGATGGCCTTTCATGCGCCATGACCTCCTCAAGGCTTTTGGAATCATTCTCATCTTCTACTTCCTTACTCCCATCCTCTTTTGCGTAATCATGAAAGATGAAGGGGTCTGTCCCTCAGATTCAAAAGTTCCTGGTTGGGTCAATGCACTCTACTTTGCCAGCACTACGATGTCCACAGTAGGTAAGCCAATCATTTTTGGGAACACCCTACTGATGTGTTGGAAGAAACATGCCACTAACGTTTTCCCGTTGCCTGTTGATATTATAGGATATGGTGATTTGAGCGTGGAGAAACAAGATGCTTGGAGAGTGGCTATCGGCATGTTCTACATGATCGCTGCAATTATCGTGGCCATCACGGCTTTTGCTGCCGCGGCAGACAGCGCCTTGTCCCCCATGAAGAATCTCTACAAGTACATTGCTCATATGACACCCCTAACATATCCCGAGGTGAGTCTGTGAGGATCGAGACAGCTGCGACCCCATGCGGAATGTTGACCTAACCTTTCTTCCTGTTTCGTTCAAAACCATAGGGTCCTCTCCAGGAAGGGGAGCTCCTATATCAACGAGTTCGCAAAGTCACCATTATTTCATTATTTGACGTTGCGTTCCAGTTCACCGTTTTGAACTTGATTGGTATCTTTGCCAGTCAACTCTTTGTGGAGTATGCCGGTGAGTCCAATCTCTCGATTGACGCAGGGCTTGATTGCGTTTGCAGGGTCTCATGATGCTTTCCTTTGTCCTGCAGAAGTCGATCCCGAGAGGCAGTGGGATTGGGTTGATAGCATGTACTGGGCCGTACAGACATCGACAACAGTGGGCTACGGGGATCTCAGCATGCCAGAGTACATGAGGCCATTTCAGATCATCTACCTTTCGCTTAGTACTTACCTGACTGGTAGTGCATTGGGACGTTTGGCTTCTCTCAAGGAGGAGATTGAGGCGATTCGGCGCCACCATGCCTTCGAAAGGAGGGAAGTGAATAAGCACATGATGCACTACCTGGCTTCAACTGATGACCCTACAAGAGTTGACCAGTACGAGTTTGTGATTGCGTCTCTGCTGAATCTAGGAAAGATTGACGCCGGAGACATTGAGCCAATCATGGACAAGTTTAGATCATTGGCTCGTCATTCGGGACACAGTGGTTTCATCCGTGTTGAAGACATCCCCGACGAGACGGATTCGCCTTTGGATGATGATGAACTGGAGGAAGTTGAAGGAGTTGAAGGAGCCTAGAATGATCCCCGATTGCCAGCCCCCCGTCTGATAGCTTTCCCTTTCAATATTCCTAATTAGTTTTGTGTGCGTACTAGTACGTGAACGTCGACCCACTTGAATGAGTGTTGTGGTCTGTGCAGACAAAAGCTACAACTGAAAACGTCAACCTAGGTAGAAAGGGTAATCCTAAGGATCTATGTTAATTGCTAGGTTTCACAAATGCTGTGTCGCTACTGAATGTTGCATTCGCCTCATGCTCAATAACGCAGAAGAGATTCCAACGCCTGCTTTGCAAGGAGTCCATATGCAGTATTCTCTGTCTTCAGACAAACTTTGCAGGCATTGACGCCTTGCTTGAAGGTTAGTTCAGCCAAGAACTCCATCTCAGAAACAGTTCTCATACTAAAGTAGACAACTTCCTGACCCTCAGCACCAGGGACGGGACGGCGGGCAATGAAGAAGACATTGTTCTGCAAGAACTTCTTTTGAACGCTTTCGATGTCGGCAGCACCAGGTGGCAAATCGCTAACCGTTCCGTACAATTCAGACCTGTCATCAATTGACTTCCAGCTTTCAATAAAAGCACTACGCTCCATGGCACCGTCGGCACTAAAGAGTGCTTCAAAGTTGCAGTTCACAGCAAAGTAAAACACAGTGCCACTGGTCATGTTTTTGATGGCAATCTGAACCTGGGGAGATACTGGCTGTCCCGCCGCAGGAGGAGGAGCCATCATGTTCGCATTGATAACAAGCTCACAGAACGTGCGACCAGTACTGCCTTTAGCAACAGGTGGGTTGCACACAATCTGCTGCGATGCAGGACTCAAACTGAAACTGTTCTTGTTCAGCTGCAGGAAACAGAGAGATGTGTGAGACGGCATGTACATGTGGGAGTTTTCGACGGCAACCCTTACAACCAGCCAGCAAAACAAAAGCGTACCTGAATTGCCAAACTCGCAACTTCGGTAGCACTGCTAATGTTGTTGATCTCAATCTCGAGGCGAATCTTGCGCTTCCTTTGTGTAAAGCCTGCCG